GGGGGGCAGCGTTCTATTGGTCGGGCCCGGGGAGGCTCGATGCCGGCCCTTTTCTGCCGCTTCGGCTTTTGAAGAAAAGGGAATAACAAGGCGTGGCTCTGAATCGGGCCCCCACCGGCGACACCCCGCCCCGCTGACATTTCCCAGCGCCGAGTTCCATGAAATTCTCTTCTTTGAGTCCCACACAGGCCCTTCCCTTCTCTTCACTTGATCGCGCGGCCTTTGCGCTTCAGGTGGTCTGCCCGCAGGCTTCGCAATGGACGGCGCGGGCCCGGGCCGCCTGAACGACGTTTGCGGCGGCGACGGCTCTCATCGCATCAAATTTGCAATTGGGTCTCACGGGGCCCATGACGACGTCAGCGTCTTCCCGCCCTCTGATCGCTTGATGGGAGCAAACGCGTTGTGGCGAGCGAAAGGAGACCAATGTCGTGAGCCGCGCACATCACGACATTGAATAAGCGGCGTTTCCGCCGGGGAGGATCTTTTGTCACTTGTTGTCACGTTATTCCATCAGTACCGATCGGGAGGTCCGTGGGGCGGTGACGTCATTGTGGCGCTTTGACAGTGGCGACTTCACGTCATTTTGGGGGATGTCCCCATCGCCGGCGTGATTTTCAGCCGATCCGCTATCGGCGGGGAAACGTGGCTTTCGCGTAAGGTCGCGCGGTTGCGCGCAAAAAGAACCGCGCTGGCTTGGTTTTATGTTGGAGTCAACGATTCGGTGACAAAGCCCGCATCGGGACTCGGACTTGGGTGGCAGAAATTGGGACGACCCCGCTTCTTTGCAGATTTTCTTTTGTAACCCGCACGCGGCCCCATTTTTCGTAGAAACTCGCACTGACGACTTGTTTTTTCGACGCGGTCCCCTTTTTTGGGGGTGGGGGGGGGTATGCTCCCCCCATCCCACAGCGATTGTAATCATCGGGTGCGTTTTGCCGTTCGCAGTCGGACTCGGTCGCCGTCACCCATGAACGGCGGCTTCTCAATGGAGCAAAACTTTGCAGGAATTTGCACGAAGCGCCCCCTTTTGTTCCCCCCCCCCCTCCCCACGACGGCGTGAAGAGGCGGCTTAAGTCCCCGTCGAAGCGTCACGGCACCACCGCGCGCGTCTACGCTATTTGGAGCACACTTGACGTTGAGGCCGCCGCGCGGATGGGCTTTTTTTCCGGGGCGCTTTCCCTTTCCCCGCCGGCGCGCCATTGTCCCGTTCCCCGGCGTTGCCGGGCGACCGGAGGAATCCCAGCCGTTGCTTTGGCGCGGCTCTTGCTAAATGGGGCGAGGGAGGGGGCGGGAGCGCGCCGGAGGGATCCGGCTCTTCTCGGGATGTTTGCAAACAAAATCCGTCCTGGTTTGCCAAGTCTCTGTCGCTTACGTCGGAAACGGCTTCTGCCGCTTTTTAATCCCGTTTGTTCCGCAGCGCCGAGTGCCGCCGGTTGGAATATTTTGCCGTGGGGCGGAGGCGGCCACGCGGTGACTCCTGACAAAGCGAGGGGCTGAACCTCGCGAGAGGGGAAAGAGTTCATCTCAGGTCGCCGGTCGCCCCGCGGCGGCGGCGGCTCGCTTTTCTGACCCGCGGTCCTCTCCAGAAGCGCTCTTGCGTCAGTCTCCGGTCGAACGAGGCGCCGTCCCATCTTGGAGGTCAAACGGGCTCTTGGGTCTTCTTTGGCTCTCGCGGTGGAAAGTTTGGGAAGGGGAGTTGGAAAAACAAGTGCGGCTCTGCGTTACGGGGTCGGCAAAGAGTTGCTTCTCGAAAAAGGGCCATTTGAGCCAAAACGGATGAGGGCTTCACGAAAGCTTTTGGAAACTGAAGCCCCCAAGTGCACGTGGCCTCGCTGCTTTTTTCACTCCCCCCTCGCGCCTCACTCCTGAAGTGTCCCTTAACTTTGCGTTGCCGGTCTGTACGTTGGCGCCGGCAACGTTGCAGGCGAGAACGAAGTGTTGGAGTCGCTGCACAAGATCGCATCCAGGAACAAGGTGTGGCGTTCCTACATCGGCATGGGCTACTACAACTGCTCCGTGCCGCCGCCCATCCAGCGCAACCTCCTGGAGAATGCCGGCTGGTGAGTCACGCCCGCCCACCCACCTCCGCGTTTTGCCCACCGGGCTTGAGCTTGGGATTAAAATGACGACTCATCGGGGGGTGGGGGGGGTTCCGTCTCCCCGAGGATCCTCCCCCGTTCCAACCGGCGCCCTCTTGATATGCGCGCCCCTCAGGGTGACCCAGTACACGCCCTACCAGCCCGAGGTGTCCCAAGGTCGCCTGGAATCCCTGCTCAACTACCAGACCATGATCTGCGACATCACGGGGCTGCCCATGGCCAACGCGTCGCTGCTGGACGAGGGCACGGCCGCCGCCGAGGCCATGCAGCTCTGCCACAGGTGCGGGGACGCGGGAGGCGGAGAGCCCCGAGTCGGCGTAACCGTCCCGGCTTTTCTCGCCCCAGGCAGAACAAGCGAAGAATCTTCTACGTGGACCCTCGCTGCCACCCTCAGACCATCGCAGTGGTGCAGACCAGAGCCAAGTAGGGTCGCGCCGGAACGCCCGCCGAGCGGCCCGAGACGACGGCCCTCTCAATGTCGGCGCCCCGTTGCAGCTACATCGGCGTCGAGACGGCGCTGAAGCCGCCGCACGAGATGGACTTCGGCGGGAAGGACGTCAGCGGCGTTCTGTTCCAGTACCCCGACACCGACGGCAGGGTGGAGGACTTCACGGCCCTCGTGGACCGGGCGCACAAGGGAGGGGTAAGCCCCCCCGGGGAAAAATGCCAATAAGACGTACGGCGTGTCCGACTCGTAAAGGTCACGCGGCCGTGCAGCGTGAATGTTGCGGCCGCTTTCCTCCCACTGCTCCGGTCGCCCTCCTTGTCCGCGGGTACGCGCAGCGGCTCGAGAGCCCGCCCTCGCTCTCTCTCGTCGCCGCCGTTCGGTAGCTCGTCTCGCGCCGACCGATGCGCCGGTGTCGTTTTTCCTCGTCTGACGGAAATCTCTTGTGGCGTCGCAGGCCTTGGCCTGCTGCGCGACGGATCTGCTGGCGCTGTGCGTGCTGCGCCCCCCCGGCGAGTTTGGCGTGGACATCGCGCTGGGGAGCTCCCAGAGGTTCGGGGTCCCTCTGTGCTACGGGGGTCCGCACGCCGCCTTCTTCTCCGTCAAAGAGAACCTGGTCCGGATGATGCCCGGCAGGATGGTCGGCGTCACCAGGTGGGACGCAAAGAACGCCATCGCCGATTTTGCCGGAGATCGGCAAGCCGCGTTCCGAGAACCCGGACGTCTCGGCGGCGGGTTGCGAAGTCGGGGGCGGGTCCGCGCGCAAAAGGGGAGATCGGAAAGCCGTCGTGAGCGGCGTACCCTGTGTTGATGTTTGGAGGGATGCGGCGGGAAAGGAGGTGTTCCGGCTGGCGCTGCAGACCAGGGAGCAGCACATCCGGCGGGACAAGGCCACCAGCAACATCTGCACGGCTCAGGTAGGACCCGGGAGCCCCGACGCCCCCGCCGGCCGGCCGGCCGGCGGCCGCGTCCCAACGGGCTCGTCTCCCCGCCGCCAGGCTCTGCTCGCCAACATGGCCGCCATGTTCGCGCTCTACCACGGCCCGCAAGGACTGCGGCACATCGCCGAGAGGACGCACAACGCCGCGCTGGTCCTGGCCGAGGGTAAAAGGTCTTTGCGCCGCCGCCGGGGCGAAAGCCGGACCACTTCTAAGCGGCGGTGACGGCGCAGGTCTGAAGAGAGCCGGACACCGGCTGCACGGCGACGTGTTCTTCGACACGCTCAAGATCACCTGCGGCGTGGCGGCCAAGGACATCCTGGAGAGAGCCGCGCAGAGGAGCATCAACCTCAGGGTCTACGCCGACGGCGCGGTGAGGACCTTTCGGACGTTTCCTTCCTCTCGTCTCGCCCCCCGAGAGTCCTCCGTCGGATCGTCTGCGTCCGTTGCGCATGATCCGAATGGGGCGGACCCGTGTCATTCGGCCCCCTTCCTTGGAAATAACGCAATGTCTTCCGTCGGTCCCGGAGAGTGAGCCGATTGAGAGGCGGCCCTTTCGCCGATGTTGGGATCCCGGGGGGGTCTCACCCTCGCTTGGATCAGCGCACGGGTCCCAGACGGCTGATGAGCCCAGACGACCCGGACCTCGTGGGCGCGAGGGCCGCGATTGTCCTCTCCCGGCCGGGTCGCTTTGCGCTATTGGACCGCGCCAAAGGCCGTGAAATCTGCCCCCCCTCCCACCCCCATCTGTCCGTTTCTTCTCATCTCAGTTGGGCGTATCGCTGGACGAGACGGTGACCGAAAGGGACCTGGACGACTTGCTCTGGGTCTTCGGCTGCGAATCCTCCGCCGTACGTTGCCGCCGACGCCGCTTTTCTGCCGGCGCTCTCTTGCGCCCTGGCGATGGTTCGAGCGCGGGCTGCCGGATTTTGCTGTGCTAGGAGCTGATTGCTGAAAAGATGGGCGAGCGGACCAAGGGCATCATGGGAAGTCCTTTCAAGAGGACCAGCAAGTACCTGGCGCACCAGGTCTTCAACAGGTGCGCAGTCAATGGCGACGCGACCGAGCGTTGCGCGCCGGCCGCCCTTAGGATACGCCGGTGCGGTGTTGTTGTTCCGGCCGCTAAGGAGAACCTTTTGACCAACGCAATACGACGTCGTGCCACGGCGCCTCTTCCATGCCAACCGAAGCCTTGACGTCACGCGCCCGATTGGACGACATTTGTCGTCGTCGTTCGCCGAGAGCCGCTCGCCTTGGTCTTGAACGGGGCCCCGTCCGTCCTTTTCAGTCGGTCATGGAGTCGGGCGCGCTTTATGGCACCTTTCGCGCCGATTCCGACTCGATAACATGCGCGGCGATCGCACGCCACGGCGTTGGCCGCCGACGTGCTTGCTTTTATCAGTCCGAGTGTTGGCTTTTCTCCGGCACCTTTGGGGCGGCGAGTTTGTTTGGGCCGTTTCACGCGTTGGTTCCTGACTTGTTTCTTCGCCGGGGCCGTAAATGATCCGGCCCGCGGAGGAGCTCGGGTCGGAACGCGAGCTCCCTCCGCCCGGCCTTTCCTAACAGCGCGCCGGCATGAGCGCGCGGCTAACCGTCCCGCTTTGGCTCCCCCTCAGTTACCACTCGGAGACAAACATCGTGCGCTACATGAAGCGCTTGGAGAACAAAGACATCTCGCTGGTGCACAGCATGATCCCATTGGTGAGAACTCGGCCGCGGCGCCACTTTAAGAGAAAAAAACCCCACTGTCCTCATGCTCATAACGCCTGCCACTTATGGGGAGCGTTTAGGGCTCTTGCACCATGAAGCTGAACAGCTCCTCAGAGCTCACGGTGAGTCACTTGGGTCGCAGCCGACGTGGATTTTGCCCGCTCATATTCCAACGCGCTCTTCGTCCGCCGCAGCCGATCACCTGGAGGGAGTTTGCCAACATCCACCCGTTCGTGCCGCTGGAGCAGGCCGAGGGCTACCAGAAGCTCTTCAGGCAGCTGGAGAAGGACCTCTGCGAGGTGACGGGCTACGACAAGATCTCCTTCCAGCCTAACAGGTGAGCGGCCGCGCCCGCCTTCTCCGTCCGGCCCGCGGGGAGGCGTCGCGCCCTGGCGCCGTGCTCGCGATATCCGTTGACGCCCTCGTCGTCGAATAGGATGGAAACGAGGCAGGCCGGGTCGCTTTGTTTGCCTTTGGCGCCCGGGCGGTTGCGAGCTGATGGGGCGTTTGCCGCGGTTGCGAGCCGGCGCGTGACGGGTGACGGCCTTGTCGCTTTTTGTCTTGCAGCGGCGCTCAGGGAGAATATGCCGGCCTGGCGGCGATTAAGGCCTACCTCAACTCGAAGGGGGAGAGCTCGAGAAGCGTGAGTGATCCGCGACACAGAGACGACTCGACGAAAGGACGTTGCTTTGCCCCTCGGCGCCCCCGACCATGACGGCAAATGTGTCTTCTGCGTCTTCCCGCTTCTCTTTCCTTGGGGTGCCGCCCTTTTCCTCCGCATCTGGCAACTTTCTTCTCATCGCGACCGCGTGAACGTTGGCCTTGACCCTTTGGGCTCCTTGCACGTTTTTCCTCGTCACATATGGCAATTTCTTCCCCGGAGCTCACGACTTGATTCTGGTGATTTGGAAGGTCTGCGGGGGGTTTTTTTTTTTCTATCCAATTCTGACGTTCTTGTTCCCGGCACCGCGTTGCGACGACTGGATTCTTTGGCCTCGTGCAACTTTGTGGTGTGGTGACAACCTTTGCCTCCTCACCGCACGACTTCACGACGAGCGCTTCTTTTCTCTCGGTGTACGACCTAATCACCGTCCCGACGACGACAACCCGCTCCACTCTTTGACTTTCTTACTGCGACCTCATCCTCGTCACGTGGCGGCGCTTTGGGTCCCGGCACGTCGCACGTCAGGAGGGAAGAGTGCGGTGGGGTTGTTTTTTGTTTTTTGTTCCTTTCTGTTTGTCAGCTTTCGGCGTCATCTTTATCGCCGGCGCTTCTTGTCCGCGCAACGCGCTCGTACGAGTCACCGCGACGTCACCGTTCCGACGCGTTCGCCGATTGGTCATCGCTTGAGAACAAGTGGCAGATAAGACGTGCCCCGAGATTAAGAACGGCTGACTGGACTTTTAGCGCCTGTGCTCTTTAACACCTTTTTTTTCCCTCTTCTTAATAACGGTCTGTGTGCGCGTGTCTTAGATAGGGGGGGCCGGTCTTGACGGAGTCAAAGTCCAAATGGGCAAGATTCCATATTTGGCGTTTACATTTTGCAGAGACCGCGCACGTGCGCGCGTGCGTGTTATTTGCGGACGTTGCCCAACCCGCAGGTCTAAGTGCCCCAGCTCGATTGTGCAACGTCGCCCTAATAAGGCAGCAGATCAATTAGTGACCAGCGGGACGCTTCAACATTCAACATTCAGGTCACAAAGCCCAAACTTTGTCATGTCGCATGATGAAAGAACACAACGACTTGTTCATAAAAGCATTCTGCAGCAGGTTTTGGAGGGGACCATCGTGGACAAAATCTCCTCAGGCCACCTTCCGCTAAAGTCGGCGACATCCTTGCTCACTAACAGATTCCATTCCTGAAATGAAGTCATCATCCAATATCATCAGAAACTGCTTCCGTTTTTCGTGTTTTCTAAAAAAATGAAAGAAAATCCAAACTACTCGGGCCATTATTTTAGGAGGGTGACAGCGAGCAAAAACACCGAAAGATCGGAATTGGAATTCGGAAAATGAACGGCTTGCCTACTTTAGACGCGGACGTCCGTACCGCACGTTGATGACATTTTATGCATCCGTTCATGTTGTCATGTTGCCGTTGATTTATTTTGTTTGACGTGGGCATTTCCAGGAATCCGAATGTTGGAGTGAGAGTTTGTAGAGCGGCGCAAACGAAACATCGGGATCGGGCCTGGTTTTTTTGTTTTTTTTTTTTTTCCTCCCCGATTTCAAGTAGGGACCTGGGACGGCGTTTGTGGATTCCGACGGTTTGACGGGCTGTCTCTGGGCTTTGCGCCGTAGGTGTGTTTGATCCCCAAGTCGGCGCACGGCACCAACCCGGCCAGCGCTCAGATGGCCGGCATGAAGGTGCAGGTGGTGGAGGTGGACAAAGACGGCAACATCGACCTGGCCCACCTCAAGGCCCTGGTACCGTGCCCTCTCTCTCTCTCTCTCTCTCTTTTTTTTTGGGGGGGGGGGGGAAAATTCCGCAGCTTTAAACGTACAGTCTTTCTCGCACCCCCACTTTTCAATCAAAATGTCATTTTTCGCAACAGTTTTCTTTGGAAATCGGGTGCGGGGTTTGTCGCCCCCCGTCCCTCCTCCAATATGTTCATCAGTTTTCTTCATTTTTCGATTTCACAAGCAATCATTGAGCCACAGACAACAAAAGGGTATTGAAATGCTTTTTTCTCGAGCATGACGATTGTTTCTTTGTCATCAACAATTGGCCATCTGCTCTGGGTCACGAACGGCCACTCATCTGGCTCCGCTCGAAATAAGCGCGTGCGCTCCGCACAAGCCATTTGATATGGGAGGCTTTCTCGCAAAACATGTTTTGCTTTTCTTCCAATGATGTCATGGCTGGCAAGTCGGAGCCAATATTTGCCTCGGCTTTCGGCACGAATGCGGAACATCTAACCGGCGAATGAAAATCCTCAAGGCGGGCCGCGCCTCTTCCCGCAGGTGGACAAGCACAAAGCCAACCTGGCGGCCATGATGATCACGTACCCGTCCACCTTCGGCGTGTTTGAGGAGCAAATCCAGGACGTGTGCCAGCTCATCCACCGCGCCGGCGGCCAGGTGTACCTGGACGGCGCCAACATGAACGCCCAGGTAGGCGCCGAGACGGCGGAGGCGCCCGCCCTTTGAGCCGCTCCCCGTCACCGGGCCGACCGGCGACTCGCGGCCGCTTAAAAACGCGTCCCCATCTCTCTCTCTATCTTTCTATTTGTTTGGTTTTCTCTTGGATGGATTTTTCATACGCGTGGTTTTGGAACGCAGGAGAAAGCCCGAGCACCCGCAATTGAAATGCAAGCACAAAAACTGTCGGCCAGACGTGCCGCACAGATGGAGAGCGAAAGGCAACTTGGTCTTACGAGGGAACGTAGCTTCGGAACATTTTTCAAAGCCTTCTAAAAGACATGAGCGCTGTTTGGGAAAACTTGGCCAAGATAGAAACGGGAAGCGAGCTCTCTATCGCGCACGCACGCACGCACATGAGCAAATGCTATTTTATAGCAACGCAGTGGACGGGAACGAGTGAGGCATTGACTTACAAGTTGCGGGCGGCGGTCCGGCCCGCTCGCTCTCGGCGCCTCCTCCGGAGTAACGAGCGGCTGGGCCGATGGTCGACAGCTCACGCTTCCCTTTCTTGGGAAACGGGGCCTCAAAGGAACGAGTCGGCCGGCGGCGCCGCCCGTTCACTCGGGAGCCCCTTTGGTGAAAGGGCGACACGTAACCAGGCGGGGGCCCGTCTCATTCCATCGTTGGCCGACGAGAGAGCCGGCCGCTTGGGAGCGGTCAGCAACTTGCTGCACGTCGCGGGGCCGACGAGGACTCGGCTGTGCCGTCTCTCTCCCTGCCCGCGTTCCGAATGGCATCCTGCAAAATGAGACGGAAAACCACAAAGATTGGAATCACGGGCACAACGGTTTTCCAGGACTCGGCTCGAGTATTGACGCGCTTCCGTCCGTCCGAATGGGGGCGTCGTCGGAGCCTATCCCGGACGACTCGGGGCAGAGCGCACCCCGAACGGGTCGCCGGTCAGTCACAGGGCACGCGTCGAAAGGAACAAGCCCCATTCACACCCGAGCCGGAACCGATCCCGCGCACCAATGGGCCGCGTGGACCCCATCGGCGACACGTAGTTTGAACTTGACAACCGGAAGAGAGCTTTTGGTTTTTTTTGAAATGTCCCCCAGCTTACGTTGTAGAGGTGGGGGGGGGGGAAAGTGAGTTGTGCGCGTTCTTGTCGGCTCGTCCGTCGCGAGGCGAGGCGGCGGCGGCCGCGGCGCGCGCTTCCTCCCTTCTGCCGATGGCACGAGTCAAAAAGTTGCGCCCGCCGGTGTGTGGCAGGTGGGCCTGTGTCGTCCCGGAGACTACGGCTCCGACGTGTCGCACCTCAACCTGCACAAAACCTTCTGCATACCGCACGGAGGCGGAGGCCCCGGCATGGGGCCCATCGGCGTGTACGTACCCGTCGCACTCGTCGGCATCTCCGGAAAGCCCTTTGAGCGTCGCTTCCGCTCGTCTGCTTTTTGGCATCATCCGCGCTTCCTAGCCAGACCGCTTGGTTTGCGCCAATGATCTTTTTAATCGGGTCACTTTTGCCCGACCCGCGCACCTCGAACCCCCCCGTCCCTCCGACTCGGACCAAAAGGCCGAGCGTCTCGCCTCTCGCGCGTTAGCGTGTCGCCGTCCTACCGGCGAGGACAAAGACCCGCACTCGTACGCGAACCCCGAGCCGGATATCGCTCAAATATTCCAAAAGACATTTCGGCACATGAGTGGAACCGCCGTAAGAATCGTCAATGTTCCGCGACCGCGTGAATTTTCTGCACACCCCAGCAGTAGCGCCACTTTGGCATCCCGGGCAAACGAACGGCATCGTCGCGTGCAGAAATGTCACGCGGTCCCGGCGAAGCTCGACAAGCGAGAGGGCGTCCGTCGACTCGCGCGGCCGCCGAGGCTCAACGGCGCACTCGTTGACAGCGCTCAAGGTGGCTTTCTGGGCTCCGTTCCGGGCTTGGCTGGAGCGTTAGCATTAGCGTTAGCGTGAGCGGGCTGCGGTTTGGCCCCGAGCAGGAAGGCCCACCTGGCCCCTTTCCTGCCGAGCCACCCGGTGGTCTCCATGCGCTCGGTCGACAGCAGCAGCTCCCTGGGCACCATCAGCGCCGCGCCGTGGGGCTCCAGCGCCATCCTGCCCATCTCCTGGGCCTACATCAAGGTGGGGAGCCGCCTCCCGCCCGCCCCGAACCGCAAGGCGTCGTGTGATCTCGCGCCGCTGACTTTTTTGTTTGTTTTCTTTTTTCTTTCAGATGATGGGCGCCAAGGGTCTGGTTCACGCCACCGAGATGGCCATCCTCAATGCCAACTACATGGCCAAAAGGCTGGAGGGCCACTACAAGATCCTCTACAGAGGCGCCAAAGGTACGTTTGGCTTTGCGGCTCGGATGACGCGACGGCGCTCGCCCGGTATCCGGCCAAGCGCCGCGTTCGCCGAGGTCGATCGTTCGGCGGCGTTGGCAAACGGTTTCTCTTGCGGCGACGAGATTTCCGACGCGTCGGACTTCCTTCGGAAACGCCCGGCGGGGGGCCGGGCTTCGGGGACCGAGCCCCGCCTCCGGCCGACCATCCGCAATTGGCCTCAAGTGGCGCCGAAGCGGTCTTTGAGCCGAGTGGACGTCGGCCAAGAGCGCTTCCGTCGGTCCTCCCCAAAACAAAAGCGCGCGCGCGTCCCCAACCGTGACGATGCGAGTGTTCACCCTACGACAGCTTTCGGACTCAACGAACTGATTGTCCTCATGACGAGCGACATCCGCCTTTTCAGTCTTTCAGAGTGTTTTCCCATTAACATTTGCTATTAGAATTGATCATGTGAAAATAAATCCTTGTCATCATACCTCATTTTTTCCCCGCAATCCAAAAAAGGCATGCATTTCTATTTGATGGATTGACATATTTGTGACAATACTGAATCAACTCAAGGTATTCGAATGAATCCTTTTTTCCAACATGATCAGCTCAAATAGCGCGTGAAGGTCATTGATGTCCAGGAAAAGCGCCATTTTGGGGCTTTTGCCCTCTTTGCACAAATGGAGGGAAATGAAGGCGCACGTGCGCGTGTGCGTGTGCGTGTGCAGGCTTTGTGGCCCACGAGTTCATCGTGGACGTGAGGCCCTTCAAGAAATCGGCCAACGTGGAGGCCGTGGACGTGGCCAAGCGGCTCCAAGATTACGGTCAGTTCACGGCCGCCATTTGACACGTCCGCGTCGCTTTTTGATGGCGTGCCGGCTGCGGGACGGAAGGTGGCGGGCATTGGCTCTTGCTTTACATGTCGATGCCGCCAATTGTTTATTCCGTCGTCATTTCTCTCCGTCCGTCTCTTCTTTGTCGGCCGCTAGGGTTTCACGCGCCCACCATGTCGTGGCCCGTGGCGGGTACGCTCATGATCGAGCCGACCGAGTCGGAGGACAAAGCCGAAATGGACCGCTTCTGCGACGCGCTGCTGGGCATCCGGCAGGAGATCGCCGACATCGAGGAGGGCAGGATGGACCCTCGCGTCAACCCGCTCAAGGTGATCGGCGCGGCCGCCGTTTAAGGAACGCCATCTGGCCCGCTTTGCCAACCGCTCGGCCGCCGCCGCCGCCCGGGCTTTGTTTGTCTCTCTCTCAGATGTCCCCCCACTCGCTGGCTTGCGTCTTGTCCTCCACTTGGGACAGACCTTACTCCAGAGAGTTTGCCGCCTTCCCCCTGGTAAGCTGCCAAAGTGCCACTCCAAGTTGTTGCAGAAATGCAGATTTGATTTGCTCGCAGACCCAAAACAGAAGCCAAGTGATTTTCAACCTTTTTTTGTTTTGCCCCCCTGCGCGCAGCCTTTCATTCGGCCCGAGACCAAGTTCTGGCCGACCATCTCGCGGATCGACGACATCTACGGCGACCAGCACCTGGTGTGCACCTGCCCCCCCATGGAGGCTTACGAGTCCCCCTACGAGGAGAATCGGGCCTCCTCCTAGGGCTTTTCTTCCCCGTGAGCTCGGTCCCAACGTCCGCACCTGCCGTGCAATTCTCGGGGAAAGGAAAAAAAAAAAAAAAGCCCGCAAACGATCAGAGTTCACATTTGTTGCGGAGCGGAAAAAGTCTTCATCCATAAATTCAGTTGGACGTTAAGACTGAGCGCCTCCATGATTTGTTTTTCTTTTTCCATTCATATCAGTAACAAGGCTGGGTTGTTTGCAACTCTTTCAGTGGACCAAAGGTGCAACTTTTGCTTTCCCCTCCACCCCAAAAAATGAAATCATCATCATTGCGCCGGAACAGAATTTTCCAATATTTCTCAAACACAAGAAGAAAGACAATTCCTCGTGCCTCTATTGTTGCTGCCTTGACCAGCCAACCCCCCCCCCCCCCCCCCCCCTTTTTTTTTTTTTTTTTTTTTGTAAGTGTCCCTGTAGCCTTGTTAATGTTGTATTTTAACATCTCAATGTTGATTTGAAAAGTTTCATTTCAGCCCTGCTGTGTTTTCTGTAGTGGACTTTTTTTTTGGGTTTGTTCCATATTTACAGCTCAGAATGACCAAGTAGTCTCCCTCCCCCTCTGAGAAGATATTTTCCCCGAATTTAAGCGGACTGAGCCACGTACACGATGGTTTACTGTCTAACTGCCCAGGGTTGTTTGTTTTTTTTTGGGGGGGGGGGTTGTTTATGCTAAGAAAACCAAATAATTAAACAAGACCCATATTTCAGATGTGCGTTTCTGTTGACTGGCCGTGCGTGTTCAAGATCTTGACAAAACGCACGTGGATGTGGACACGCGAAATGTCCAACTTGAGCGCCTCTTCTGTGGGGAAATTGTGCCGAGTGAACGCAGCTTTGGAAGAGTGTGTGTGTGTGTGTGTGTGTTTTGGGGGGGGTTGTTTGTTTGTTTGTTTGTTTGTTTGACACAACTCGGCACGCATTTTGTCGGGCGCAAATTCTAAGGCGTACGGTAGCTCGGCGTCCCGCTCTCCAAAAGCGCTCGTCGCTCGCTAGCCTCTCGAAGCTAAGCACTTGGCGCCATTAGCAAGCCAAACGAACGTTAGCCAAAGGAGCATTTTCACCTCAGTAGTCAACAAGTCGGAAACACAACTTACCACGACATCGGTGCTTGCTTGAACCCGTTGACGCCTCGCTCGCGTTCGCCGTCCGCGGCAACGCTTTGTCGGTTCTTGAGTCTTGTCTGACGAACGACGAGCGATGAAGTCGGTCTTTCTCGAGTGCGGCCGCCGCTTCTCTTCTTGGTCTTTTTCGAGGGGACCGGATGAATAAAGAGTTCTTTGACTGAAGCTTTCGACATTCATTGTGTGCTCCCCCAGGGTTCAAATGACTTCTGCTATAGATCGTCGGCAGGAGATCCGTCATCGGAATCGTTGATCCTCGGGAGCACTCCGGAGCCTCTTCCGGGCAGGAGGCGGGGTACGCCCGCGACCGGCGGCCAGCCGATCGCGGGGCACGCTCTCCTTCGGCGCGTTCCCTTTTCCACATCATCGGGAGTATTCGGTCGGCATTTCCACGAAGCCATACGTTCGTGCAGGGAGGGGTGGGCAATCCCAGTCCTGGAGGGCCGCTATCCTGCATGTTTTCCACCTGTCCCTTCTCCAACGCACCTGATTCAAATGATCGGATCATCAGCAAGCTCTGTCGAGGCCTGAACAATTGAATCGGGTGCGTCGCAACAGGGACAGATGGAAAACATGCAGGATAGCGGCCCCCCAAGACTGGGATTGCCCACCCCTGCGTTCGTGTCTACCGATATAACGGACAATACGCATGTGAACATACAAGCGCGCCGTATGTTATCTGACGATCGAAATACGAACATAGAAATACGAAATGGTGAGCTTCTTTTTGCTTTTGTCCTGGGGTTCAACTAGCTTTTGTCTGAAGTCCACGTTTCAACAAAAATAAGCTGAAAAACAGCCACTCACGCCATGGAACCAACTGAAGACACTCATTTAACCAAAAGACTTTAGTTTGAAGCAATACGGGGGCGCCACTACACCAGAATTTGAAAAAAAAAGAAATGTGGAAGTATGTACACAAATATATACTGTCGGTGTTTCTATACACTTCCATAGAAAACGGGGAGAGAAACGTCATGGTGACAGCTAGCCCTGCTAGCGGCTTATGGGCGGCTAACACACGCGCACACTCATATCCACCACGTACTGTATTCACACACGCACGCAGAAGGAAGCATCTCCATTATGAGATGTGGAGACGCCCCCCCTCATTGACAGTCTCTAATACATTTGAAAATCAACCTCAGGCCGAATGCGGTTGGATGTTTTTTGTTTGGGTTTTTTTCCTGGTAGGCATCAAGTCGAAAAGAGAAGAGCCGAGGCACTTGGGGCGAGAGCGGCCTCGTCGGGCGGCCGGGCGGGCGGTCAGTCGGCGTCCCCGAGCAGATCGATGCGCAGAGTCAGCTCGCTGAAAGACGGACGCAGGCTCGAGTCGTTGGCCCAGCACTCCACCATGAGCTCGTAAATCTGCACAGACGAGCAAGTCCAATTCATTCGTTCATGCTCACGCCTGCAATTCGGGCACGAAGACTTCAAATGGTTGGTTTTTTTGAAACGTTGCGATATTTTCTGAAAGTGCAAAAAGGACACTTTTCCCTACGACACAGGGAATTTCCACTTCAAATCAAAAGATCACAGACGTCAAGTGTAAGGCTTCAGTGACATTTGCTTTTATTTAGTGGAGTGAATTTTTAATGAGCAGGCTTTTTTTTCATGACTGTATTTATTTGCAGCTATTTTTAAATGTATTCAATCGGATGTTAATTATTCATGATGTACTGTATTTAATTAGGTATATATTTAGTGAATGGCTTTTTTTTTACTTGATATCGTTTTTTTTTTAGTTTAACGACATTTATTACATCTCTCTCACGCTATAAAAATATCTAATTGTTAGAACGCCATTTATATTTCGCGTAATGGAATTTATTTTCAATATTTGTGTTATTGAATGCAATTTCAAAATATGTCTCTCAACGTATATAAATAATCATATTGGTATTTGTTGTATTTATTTGATGGCCTCTTGATTGAAGCGAATCTTTGCACATGCGACCAAAAGGTTTCATGTCAATATGAAATACACTCCAATTGGCGCCGTCGGTGACAGTTGAACCATTTCCCTTTTTCTATTTATTCGTATTTGAACGACCCGTTCCAAAAGAGGGCCACCGGTGCTTTGGCAAATTCTTCAGCCGGGGGAGACCGTTGGAGGCGCCAGCGGGACGACGTTTTGCCTTTGTCGCAAATGGCGAGTTTACCTCGGCGGGACAGCGGACGGGCTGCGGTAGCCTGCTGCCCGACCTGAGCAGCTCCATCAGGTGGTAGACGATCAGTTGGCCCTGCTTGTCGTTGCCCATCATGGACATGAAAATCTGATCGGGGAAAAGCACACGCACACAAAAATAAAAAGAGGACGACAAAAGACTGCTCATCTTGTCAGATCGCGTACGTGTGCGCGATGCTTTTCGGATTACGCCCGGTTCCAAATTGTTTTCGGTCATGAGAAGAAAGCGCTTGCTGGATGTTCAAAGCACGTCAAACAGGTGGGAAACGTTGCCATTCGAGAAACGTGTTGAATTTCGAGTACCAAGACGTCAACGGAGGCTCCGTCTCAATCGAGATCGTGCGGTGACCAAGAAACTCGCGATACATTTGGGGTTTCCAAAGTTGACCGCTAAGGATGTCTCGATAGCGTTTTACAAGTTGTTGTTGTTGGTTTTGTTTTTTGAAATGAGCCGTGAGGCTGTGAGGCGGCTTACGGCCGGCGGGCTGCAATTCTTCTCGCTGTGGGTGAAGAGCTCGTAGAGCACCACGCCGAAGCTCCACACGTCCGACGCCACGGAGAACCTGCTCTCCGTCAGCGACTCGGGGGCGTACCTGAGGAGGAGGAGGAGAGCCGGCGTCAGTCAGGACCCGCCGGGGGGACGGCGCCGGGACTTTGGAAAGGCTACCGACCAAAAGATGGGGCTCTCCCCCGGCTCTTTGACCAAGTAGTACTCCTTGTCCTGGGGCAGAACTTTGCTCAGCCCAAAGTCGCCGATCTTCACGCGCCGCTCGCTCTCCACCAGGATGTTGCGCGTGGCCAGGTCGCGGTGAATGTAGCGCTTGCCGGACAGGTACTCCATGCCCTGCGCGCAGGCGGGCGACACTCGAAAGGAGCTCCCGACCCACGGCCCCCCCCCACCCCCAGCCCTGGCGCACCTTGCAGATCTGCGAGGTGTAGCGCATCAGCTTGTGGCGGTCCATCCTCTCCTTGTTCTTGATCAGGTAGTCTCGCAGGCTTCCGAAAGGAAGGTATTCCATGACGAGGCGCAGATTGCGACGGCCTGGCCGGGAGGCAAAACTGGGCCGTCAGCTTCGGATCGGCGATTGCGGCTGACGGGAAACGGGGGGGCCTGGCTCGGACGGCGCTCCAAGCCCTTCCCGCCCCTCGCCCCGTTTCCGAGCGGCATCCCGAGCCGTCGGCCTTTCTGCGACACGGTCGCAATCGTCGGGGTTCGAACCCCCAACCTCTCTGAGTTGGGAGACGACCGCGGTCCCGCGGAGCTCACGGAGGGCTCATTCGTAGTTGTGGTTTTGAATTAGCTCTCAAGATTTCAGCTGGCATTTTCGGTCGAGGCACGCCGACGCGGTTTTCCGTCTGGATTTTTGTCTCTAGGCTGGGTGCGATTTTCGCTGGCCCGCTACGTCCGCGATGGCGGTCAGGCGGTGGGCGCTTTTGTGTGCGCGGCGGCGGCGGCGGCGGCGTCGGGATGGCTCACGAAAGCTGTAGCAGACGCCTTTGTACTTGACGATGTTGTCGTGCTGCAGAGACTTGAGGATGTCGATCTCGCGCTCAAAGTCGCGCACGTGTTCGGCGGTGCCGTGCTGCAGCTTCTTGACGGCCACCACCTCGCCCGTGTTGTCCTGCAGCGGGTCGTAACGGCACATCTCCACGCTGCCAAAGTTGCCCTGGAACGCAAATGCCGACATGAAGAAAAGCGCGCCGACGGCGGCGGGGGGCTTTTTTTTTGTTTTTTTTTTTTGCAAGGAGGTGTTGTCTCACAAAGGAGAAATTCCCAATTTACAGCAGCAAAATGATCAAGTAGAAGAAAAAGTAGAGAAATAATCAAATGGGTGGGTGAGTTCAATAGGCTGACAGCATCATGATTTTCGGGTCCTTTTTTTCGTGTTGCGGAGGTCAAAATGGGGATCGCGTTTGGTCCGACCGCTGCTTAGGGATTTTTGGCTGTGGTTTTGGTGGGATTTTTGGCTGTTTTGCCATTGTGATTTTGGTTGTGTTTCATCAGGATTTTTCTTTTCGTGGTGATTTTTTTGGTCCTATTTCGGCTTTTGTGTTTCGGGTCGCAATTTCGGTGTTAATGTCGCACGTTTGGTCCTGGAATTTTGGTGGAGGTTTGGGGTGGGGGCTTCTTTTCTTCTTAGTCACGGCGGTTAAAAGTCATGTTTGGGTCCATTTTTGTTGGGTGGGAGGCCGGGGGGACGTATCCTGTTTTTCTGAGCGGGATTTCAACACGGTCACGGTATCCGTCAACGATTTCAGCGGCTGATTTTCGGCGAAAGGCGCGACTCCCGGCACGTCCTTCGGAGACGGCCGAGTCGGGCCGTCGCGAGCGCACCTTTCCGAGCTGCTGTAAAAATCGCAGGTGTCTCTCCTCGAACTGCGCCGGCTCCCGACTCTCCAAGCCTCCCGCCGTCCGGGCGGGAAGGACGTCGCCGTCTCCGATCAGCTCGTAATCTGCTCGGCAGCGGAGCCAACAAAAGGGGGTTGGGGCATCTCCGGCGGCGACGACGCCGCCGCCGAGAACTCGAGCGCGCCGAGCAACCTGGCGTGAAGAGGCCGTTCAGGTCCCGGATGACGGCGCGAAAGCTGGGCCGGAAGGCGGGCTCGTAGTCGGTGCAGCTGCCGATCAGGTCGGCCAGCTCGGTCCACTTGGGCGCCGGGAGCCCGCGCCGGTCCTCGTAGAAGCGCCGTTTCTAGGGGGGAAGCGAAAGACAATTTTGCCGGCCCGCTCGGGACCTGGACCCGGGTCCCCTTTTTCGCTTCGGGTCGTCGGGCCGACGCCCGCGGTCGGTCGCGAGCGGCGCCCGACGTTCTCGTGCCCGCCGAGGGTCGGCGCGGCGGCTTGCGAACGCGCCTTTGCTCACGCCATGCGGGTTCCCTCGACCGTCACCTCGGAGTCGTCCAGCGCCGCCAGCGGCCTTTCGCCGCCGCTGCAGAGTTCCCAAAGAGCGACGCCGTAGCCCCACTTGTCGGCCGCCGGGCTGAGCCGGGCGGGGTCCTCGATGCACTCGGGGGGCACCCAGGGGATCCTCTCCATCAAAACTGCGCGCACGCAAAGAGCACGGACTCATCACGCGCCCGCCGTCGTCGCGACGCTCCCTTCGGTCACGTCCCCTTTTTTCCCCACCGAAATGAACTCTGCTTGCGGTCGCAAGTTTGCGCTGAACAAAAAAGCCCAAAAAGCAAGGCGGGTGCAGACTCACTGTCTGTGGGCAAGACGGCGATGCCGACGCCGGGGTCGCTGAGCTTGACAAAGGGCGGGTTCCCGAGCCGCCGGTCCTCCTCTCGGATCAGCAGCACGTTTTTGGCGCACACGTTTCCGTGGACCAGGCCCTTCTCTTCCTAGACGTTGGGCAGCAAAACAACAACAACAACAACAAAAGCCACATCTGCTGATTTGTCTTTTTGGGCAGCCTCGATTGACGACCGCAGCAGCGCGGAGAAAAACGGAGCCGTCATTCGGCGCACGAGCTCAAACGGAAGAGATGCGACTCTGCCGACCTGACAAAATGGATTGACCCCCCCCCACGTCAGCTCAGACGACCTACCAGGAAGTGCATGGCCCAGGCCAGCTGCTTGGCCACCTCCAGCTTCCACGCGATGTTGACAGAGTTGTTGTTCTTCTTCAAGTAGGTGTCCAGCGAGCCAAACTTGACATACTCCTGCACCATCATGTCTGAGGGAGACGACGGGCGGCGAAAAGTCACGCCGGCTTGGCGGCAAACGGCGTGCCGAAAAGCTACGAGGCGCATTTCTACAGATGAGAAGAGCTTTCTTGGGGGTGACAGGAGTTGCTCTTGTGTGCGTGCGTGCGCGTCGCTGACTTACTCTCTTCGCCACAAACACACACGCCGTAGTTGAGAAGCAAGTGCTTGTGGGAGAGCTGGCTCATCATGCTGGCCGCTTCGAAGAAGGACTGTCGGGAGAAGCAAAACACTTTGGACGTGCACGACGACAACGGACGGCACTCATTTTAACCACGACATGAAAGAAAGTCCCACCGACCGCCCACCCAAAAAAAAAAAGGAGCTTCTCGCGCCATCCCTTGTGTTCCAACCCTTGGTGCGTTTTTTTTTTTTTGGGACAGGAAAAGGCCCTTGCGGGCAGGCGTCACCTCGGAGTAGTTCCTGTGGGCCCGGTCCAAGACTTTCACGACCACTTCGGTTTGGTGCACGAGGCCGTAGTCTCCGAGCTCCTGGCGCACGCCTTTGAAGATCTTGGTGAAGGTCCCTCTGCCGAGGCTCTCCGTCTGACCAAGGTCACAACAAACGCCCCGAATTCAACAGACACTTGATGTGTAGATTTGTTTTGGTGCAACTTACAAACTGCAGGTCTTCCTTCTTGATGGTGTGAAAGACCATCTGGCTGACGCTGGGTCGATGCAGTGACGGCGAGGGAGGCACGTCGGGCGCCTTGTTTCTCCGACACACCACGAGACAGGACTTTTCTAAAAAAAAAAAAAGTCCACCAATATATCGTTTGGATCTCGACCGTCTTTGTGGCCACGAGGGAACAAAGCGACAAACGACAGATCACAAGCTGAGAAGCGCGCTTGGGCTGAGTTCAGTTTTTTGCCTTCCTTGAGTCAATTCAAATCCCGCTCGATCGTTTCCCATCCAACGTTGCTTTGAGATGACTCCCGGATGAAAAAAAATGTCTGCAGCGGTCTCTTCTTCTTTTTTTTTTTTTTCACCCCAGCACAGAGTTTTTGTTTTGAAGTGTCTTGACGGACGCGTTGATCTCGCCGTGGAAATTGTTTCGCGAGGGGGAGCCGACGCGGTCGGCCGGCGTCCGCGGGACTCACCCTTGGCTCTGGGGGCGCAGCACTTGCTGAAGCGGAAAACGAAGCTGTCGGAGCGCACGGCTTCCTTTCGGTAGCAGCTCAGCAGATCCTTCAGGCTGGCGAAGTTCCTCTTGGTTCCGCTGAGGTTGAACTCGCCGCCGGACGACCTGGTGATCTGGCAGTGTTTGTACTCCACCGAGCCGCGCACCTGGCAGAGGGCGCGTGCAAAATCAATCCGAAGGGCTCTCCCGCGTTTTTCTTGCCGTCGCGGCGTGCTCGTGGAAATCGGAAGGGCAAAGCGAGCGAGCGGGAGGCCCGGCCGGCGCTCCTCGGACCGCTCGGCGGTCAAACGACCGTTCGCGCGATGGAGATGGGACGTCTTAGTGAGGCCGGACCCAGAAGCCGTGAGGTCGGCGTGCCAACCGCGATTCTTACATCCGCGTGATCGCACCCATCCGCACGGGCCACCGTCTTAAAAGTGCAACGCAGTACGGTGAAACTCCGCATGGTCGCACAGAGAATGGCCTCATGACGACGAAGGAAGGAATATGCCGAGCGCCGTCGAACGCCGTCACGAAGGCAAGAAAAAACAGAGGCGCCTTGGAACGGCGGCTCAGCGTGTCCGCTCGCGTCGCGAAGCGAGTCACGTTTGGCCGCCGCGGCTTCAAATGACAGTCGGTGGTGTTCCACGTGATCGCACCCATCCGCACGGGCCGCCGCCTTAAAAGTGCAACGCGGTACGGCGAAGCTCCGCATGGTCGCACAGAGAATGGCCTCATGACGACGAAGGAAGGAATACGCCGAGCGCCGTCGAACGCCGTCACGCAAGGCAAGAAAAAGCAGAGGCGCCTTGGAACGGCGGTTCAGCGTGTCCGCTCGCATCGCGAAGCGAGTCGAGTTTGTCCACCGAATCTCAAGGCAGCTCGACCGCCGCGGCTTCAAATGACAGTCGGTGGTGTTCCACCATCAAGAACCATCTGCGCGGATCTACGTTGGGGAGGTGACGGCTGACGCGCCAGAGCGCGGCCTTTCACGG